TTATATCTATGAGCTTCAATGCATGTCTGTATATAAATGACGTAGGATGATTGTTAACATTTCTTTTTTTCCATATTATGAGAATTTGAAATTAAAAAAAAATTATGGATCCCAATGACACGGACATTTACATGAAGGCGTAAATCACATAATAATAATAACATGAAATTCAATAAAAACAAAAGCTGATCAAGAACAAGTTTAAAATGATTTTTCGAGTCATGTATATGAGATAAAAAATTGCACAATAACAGATCAATAAGTCTAATGATAAAAAAAAAAAAAGAAGAAAAACATAGATTCTGATCAATATTAGAAATTTAAACTGGCTGCCTTATTGAACTACACATCTGACGGAATATGCTTTACAAAATTGTTTGACGTCATTACTTGTTTATGAATAAAACATTTGAATAGGTTAAATGAGATATCAATGAATGATCATATCCGGATATTTTTTTTTTAATGTAAGCAGGTATTGTTCTATTGTGTTTTATCTCGATGCTTCTTCTTTTCTTTAATACCTAATGCCATTCATATAATATTCTTGCATATACATTGCATGACAATGTTAATACTCTATTTTCATTGAATTATTAATAATCTAGTTAATGAAGATGAAAATTATCATTCTATAAATACTAACAAAGAAGCAATTTCGATTAAAAATGATAAAGATTATTTAAGTAATACTAATAAGATTTTGATATTTAAAGAAATATGCATACTGTAATGAATTTCATGCTTGTTTTTATACAATAAACTTGCGAGTCAAAAGTTTTTACGTCACATCATGTTTGTTCGCCTAGATGTCCTTAACCCTGGCACGACCATCTGAGATTTTTAAGTTTTTTTATACTGTTATGAGTACATAATATTAGGTAAAAACACTCACCTTCGAGATATTCTCTAATGAAGGCTAATAGAGTAGACTGATAGTGTCTATCAGGTATGTTTAACCCTTATTCATTTGAATAGACCATCCAAAAGTGCATATGAATTGTTTGTTGACTACTTGGGGTTCGCTCGAACCATAGTGAGGTTCATTGTTATATTATGTATTGATAATACTTAACCGAAGCATCTCATTCTATGTAGAATAGTTCAAAGTATATATGAATATTTGAATAGTGATGCATGTTTTCAAACCCATTGAAAATCGAAAGTGATAAGACCATGAAAAAAAACTACGTAGATAAACATAATTGAGACTAACTGCTTTTCTGTTTGTTCTTTTTGTAATAAATTCCTCATTTTTGACTCACTAGAAACTGTTTCCGATGAGTCAAAATCTATGTGGCCAGATGCTCTTTTTTGAATATGAACTTAGAATTTTTGTTTCAGTTTCATGAGCCAACAAGCTTTTGTTTACCCTATAAGTTCACCTTTGAACATGCTAAAAATTGTCGGAATCAGTCATTTTTTAGACCAGGTACATCTCTACAAAATGTGATATTGAACTAAGCTTTAGGTTTTATCCAAATGAGGCTATAGGCATTTTTTCAAGAGTTCCTTTTAATGTTAAAAAACAGTTGTCAATATTTAAAAAAAATTGAGCTGTCTTGTGAAGAAATCAATAAAGGCATCAAATAGTGCAGTTCTTAGAATAGGCTCTAAAATACAAACAGATGTATAAATAAAGATTACAAGTTTTAGTTTCGATTGACAATAGTGAAAATACAAGAAAAATTTCAGTCAAAATTAATTTTTTGAACTTTTCAAAGATTATTTTACTATCCTCCAACAAAAACTGAAACTAGATTTCTAAGTCCATATTCGAACAGAGCACAAAATTCTGATCCTTACTCATCGGAAATATTTTCTAGAAGGTTAAAAGTGAACAAATATTTTGTCTAAAAACTTAAAAAGTGGTCACATTGGGGTTAAAGAGAATGTCATCCTCTCGCTCAATGTATATTCAGAATTTTTTCCTGACTCATCACGCTAGTTAGTTGCGAGTTAATATATGTATAAAAGAAAAATATGCTTTGCACTAAACAAAGTACACTTTTCTTTTCTGTCACATTAATCTTGTTTCTATGATATTTTTCGGATGCTTTTGATTTGTTTTGTTGTTGTAAAAAAGTCGAACCGAAAATTTTTACTTAAAACAATATTTTTCAAAAAAAATCATGTTGTTGTAAAAAGATAAACGAATACGACAATATTTTGCTTTTGAATTGAGGTAGTTTTAATCAAAATGTTAAAATACGCGACATGAAAAATTCTGTATAAATTTGTTTTTTTTTACCTTCGTTCAAGATTGGCTTTTACCAGAAAAAGATTCTGAATATATTTATAATTAGAAAGACCATGAAATTCTCATTATAGTCGATTACTTTTAATTCACTTCAATAACTTATAAATAGACGGAAATTGAGCAGAAATGTTTTTCAAAGACTTTTTACGCATAGATTATTTGGTTTCATTTCCGGAGTAAATAATGATAGTTCTTTATAATGTAGAGAAATTTCTTTCACACGTGTAACAAAAAGAACTACACATATTCTTTTAGTGTAACATTATGAAAGATTACCAATAACCAATATTTCTAAAATATTGTTCATAGTCTTGATTTGTTATTATATTTTTAACGATGTCGATGATCAGTTTTTCTTTGCTTCAATGAAATATTGTGGATGATAATATGGCTCACGTTCAAATGAAATACAATTTTTTTTTTGTCTATAAAAAACTTGAAAAACTAGTAGAGAAAAACACTTAGAACAATCTTGCGTACAAAGGAACTACTTCAGTTGCTTCCTTCTGATTCAGATGATCTTTTGCCTATAGATATTACATAATGTTATAATAAAAACTCTACAAGGATTTCGATTCCTATTGATATTTGACTAACCTGTCGAATTTTGATCTGAAACTTTGCGCATATAAAGAACTCAACTAGACTAGCTTCCATAAAAAATTAACAAGTTTTGGATAAGGACTCTTCAAGATATGAAACTTTCAAAAAAATGTATGTTGTATACACTATCCATGGAAAAGGATCAATGACTGGAAACTTTCATATCTCGACGAGACTTCATTCAAAAGGCCTGAATTTGTATTCCCTATATGTGCTAAGTTTCAGATCAAAATTTGAAAATATGAGTTTTTCGAAAACCTGAGAACTGTAAAAACAAATTCGAAAGCTAATCAAATATCAAGAAGAACTCAATCCTTTTTAGGACTTTAATTAGAAGACTATGAAGTATGTTTGGACAAAAAAAAGTCTTTGAAATCGGAAGGAGAATAGCTGAAGAATTTTCATCGTTTGTCGTATGTTTCAAAATATTTTGATCAGCAACTATTTAATCTCCATCACTATTAAAGGTATTCATCACTAGTGAATAAATATCCATAGCTATTTATTTACCACTACTGATTATTATCGAGCAGGGATTTTGAATTTGAAAGTAAAGATCTTGATGGTTGACTATGCAATCTCCGACATTATTTTGTAAATCTTCATGGCTATTAAAATACTTGTTAAAAGATTTAATAATTATTCAAAAAAAAACTGTATACAGCTATCAAATGATTTAAATAGCCGATTCATTTTTAATAGAATTTCGTATTTTCTTGTTGTTTCATGTTGTGTGACCGATTATTTATAATCTGTATTTTTCTTTTTTCTCGAATAGTTATCAAATCTTTTAATTCTTTCAGTTCCACCGACGTATATATATATGTTCCGCTATTTGGCTTAGAATACCGATTATATATAAATATGTATGAATGCTGTGGTTGACCAGACATGTCACTAGCTTATCCTGTGATTATTTGGAAAAGCGTTTTATCTGCTAGGTTACGGATTAGGATCATGCAATCATCATACACTCTCTTTCACTGTTCCACATATGGGTAGTAATACAATGTCTTTCAAAAAATAAATAAACACCATATTAAAAGATTTCTTAGAAAAACCTGAATTTTTGCAAGAAAAATCGAGACTCAAAGGGTTAAATAGATAAATGATACCAAGTAGACTCATATTTAATTATCAGAGGATGATGACTAAAACTAGATATAGACGATATTCTGATCATACTCTTCAGAGATGTCAGTCTGGCAGGCCAGCAGACCGTCCGCAAGGTCAGGCTGAATTTTGAAATTATAATTTGATCTGACCCATCGCTTAGCATTGAACCGGACTAACAGGCGAGACCAAATTTGCTAGCCTGCATATGATGTAATATTATTTTTCCTGGTAAAACTCGAAACGTAAGATGGTTTCACAAGTTCATGCTTTTGTGGGGATATGAGTCATCACTTCACATACAGTTATCCATGTGTATTAACACATCCGCACAAATGCTCTTTTACTTCTTCGTTACATATCTGATCATATGTTGTTTCTCTATCATAACGGCATTTTCCCGATCATGTGAAGCACTGCTGATATATTCAAAATCATTTCGATAAATCTGGTATTCCTTGTATAAAAAGGATCTTTGATGATTGATCTCTTTGTGTCAATTCACTATTTCGTACAAGAATTTATCATTATACTGTCTTCATGAATATAAATCAAGTATAGAATTGAAACTAGACCAATACATTATAGTAAGATTATAGAACTTAGTGGATTTAAGAAACCGAAAACATTAGCCAGTATGCCTTGTCTTGCAGACCAGATAGAGCTGGGCTTCAGATCGGGAAAAAGTTGCCTGTTGACAGTTCGGATACTCATACATTCATTATGTCATCACTAAACGGGTTTTGTTATTATTCTTCGAATGAGAATATTCAAGTTGATAAGAAAGAGAAATAGGATTATTTATTCATTCATTCATTGGTCGTCGGTTTAGAAGATAGAAAAATGCATCATTGTTTTCATCGACGTCAGTGATGACAGTAGAATAAACGTATACCTCTAGAGTTGATTACCTACATCATTTAAGCAGAGTCCACAGCTAAATATGAATACGGAACATTCGTGTGTTCAACTAACTGATTTACCAGATGAGTTGCTTATAACCATATTTAAGAAATTAAATAATATGCAAGTGCTTCATTCTTTAATGGGTGTTAATATGCGACTCAGCAAAATTATACGTGATCCAATTTTTACTGGTCGTTTAACATTTGTGAAATGGTCATTTAATAAATTTATTGATCCTCTATCTGATACAATTGTTGATCGATTTTGTCGACAAATATTGCCTCAAATTCATCATAATGTCAAATGGCTTGACGTTGAACCATTATCTATGGGACCTATTTTCCTTGCTGGCAAATATCCAAATTTATATGGACTTGGTATTTACAATATTAGAGAAGGGATAATTCAGCGTCTCTGTCATGGTAAGAAATTCAACTTTAGTTGTTTCTATCTCATTGAAACGTGAATATATGAATAATCAGAATTGTTTTATTTAATTATCAATACGAATACCTAGATCTTCATAGATTTCTGTTCAAACTAGTTTTTCGTCTTACTCATACTATATATATGAATATGAAAGAGCATAAAATAACCAAAAGAGATATGTGTATAACCTAAGAGAAGGAAACACGAGCATATTAAAATTGAATTAACATAGAATGCAACCATAGATAGTTCTACAACCAGAAAAACTCAACAAAAAATTTCTTGATTTCGCTCTGATGTATTCGAATAGTTTTCAAAGATAAAACATATGATGATGCAAAGAAGAAACATGTATATAGAGGCATAATTAGTCATCCATATGGCCCGAGGCTACCAAGTTTTTTTTGGCCACGGTCACAATCTGTGGCCACCGTGACCGTGAGTCACGGTTATCTGTTTTAATTAATCACAGGGCGCAGGTCCTACAGAACACCGAAGTCATCTAATTATATGTGATCCAAGGGAGTTCTTGTCTGGTAGTGAAACTCATGATGATTTTCTATTATTATTAATAGTAGCCAGACGAATAAATGTCGTACTATCTTCTAGTTTCTCGGTAGAAAGATTATTTAAGGCAGCTGGATTGACATTTACTCAAAGACGAACACGTTTATCGCCAAGTCAAATTGATAGCATACTATTTATTTGTTCATGCTAGAAATTCAAGGTCAAACAGTAAAAAGAAAACTTAACTTTTCTCATTATCATCTATTTATATTGATTACATTGTCAACCCTGTATCTCCTTATCTTTGTTCTCTTATACTTTTGTTCATGTTATGGATGTCAATTTTGTTTTTGTTCGTTTGATTTCTGCTGGAAAACGTCCGACAAGATTTATTAACGTGATGATTGTTAATGATTTTTAGATAAATAGAATTTCTATAATATTTGATATTGTAACAACACATATTTGTACAAGATTTTATCCTTGTAAAAAATGCAATGAAAAGATCATCCTGAAGGCATGATGCAAGAGAACTCTGTGTCCTGTAAGATGTGTCGTGCAGGAAGAAAAAAACCATCATGTGACGAAATTTAGGTAAAAACAAATAAAAACGATGAGATTAATAACCGAAAAGAATAAAACTATTCTTAATTTGTTCGATTCAATTCAATGAAATAGTTACATATATACGCGTGTTTTCGTTTAACTGTATTTGTAACAAAATATGCACTTTTATTATGTTTAGCATTTGTTCTGATGTTTTTTATCACAGAAGAAATTAGCATTCAAGAAAATTTAAAATTTTCCCTAGTTCTAGTTTCTCGTGTAACATTTATGTCTAGTTTTTTTTAATTCATAAAAAAATGAATAAATTATCGTAATAAGGTAAGAATATGAAATTACTTGTGTTATGAAAATATGAATGCAGTCAACACAGACATAGGATATGTGACCTTTTTAGTATTCATGAGTCATTAACCATGTTCAATTGATGTCGATACGATAGTGAAGAAAATATATTTTGATGTTACACATTCTATCAAATAAGGAAAGAAATCTAAAAAATAAATATCGACCATTGAATTAACCATACATATACTAAAATTTTCTGTAAGTGATTTTGCAAATATGTTTAGGAGAAAATCGTTTAACTGATATCTTCAAAAATCAAATATCAAGATTAATAATTACAATCAGTGACTATGAGAAAAAATTATTGACGGAAGATGAAATAACAAGTGTGTTTACACAAATCTTCAATGTGTTTGTCAATCTTCGTCATTTGAAATTATATTCACCTTCCGATGTCTATGTTCAGCAATTATCATTCGAAAATAAAATTCCAACTTTTTTCTCTTCAACTCTCATGGAATTGCATGTCGATCTACTTACCTTCACCGATTGTCTCTATTTGCTTGATGGTCGTTTCAATAAACTTACAAAATTTCATGTGAAAATTTCTATGATTTTTCCATCATCACTAATGATCAAGAATAAAGTAAGTTTCTTTATAAAAATAAGATAATTATTATTCAAATGATCATGTTATTTTTTGTATTTGAATTGAAAAAAAAATTCTTTCTGATTTTATTACTTTATTTTACTAGAAAGAATTGCCCAATATGACGTGTTTTTCACTGATATGTAAAACGCACACATATTTTTATGATGAATTAATTTTACCACTTCTACATCGAATGACTAATTTAAAGAAACTTGCTTTGTACATTACAATTGATCGTCATAGAACATTTATTGATGGAAATGATTTGAAGAAGAATATTATCAATCGTTTACCTCGATTAAATAAATTTGTATTTAACATTCAGTCAATCATTTCTCTTCAAGATGAAATTCATTTATTGTCAAATGAAGAAATTAAACGTACATTCACAAGTTTTATCGACAGTGGAATTATTTCTTGTGTTGATTATTTTCTAAAAGAAAAAACTGGTCAATGTCATGTTTATTCATATCCATACACATTGAAACATTATCATAATATTACAAATAATTTTCCAGGTGGATTATTTAAATGTGTTCGTCAAATATCATTATGTGATGAACGTCCGTTTGAACATGAATTTTTTCTTCGAATTTCACAATCATTTCCATTGATGAAAAAATTATCTGTATCTAATCTGAAACGACCAAAATACAAGCAACATAGAAAATTAAAGAACAAGAATGAAGACTTTTCAATCATTAAATATCATCATCTTACTGAACTAGAACTTACTATTGTTCATAAAGATTACGTTGAACTGTTTTTAGATCATAGAAGAACTTGTTTACCGAATAACATATTTCTTATTATCGATTATCGTCCGTTGCGAAAAGCTACACATAATTTCAACAGAGAAGTAATGCGCATCAATTGTGCTAAATTAATTCGACTTTCGATTTATGACGAATTTGAAATTTCTCAACAACTCAAAAATTATTTTCCTCATGTGACACAATTCTAATTTTTGCTTGCTATAAAAATAAACTAAATGAAACAAATATGAATATATTTAAATTTGATCTGAACATGCGAAAACAAAAGAAGAAAGCCTTATTATAAAAATCAAACATGTCACATGTTTGATCGCTACGGTAGTTATTTATCTAAGTTAGTTAACATGAAAAAAATTGGAACAATGTTTTTATTATAGGAAATCAGTTGACTCAAAAACTATTCATTCATCAAAGTCACGATATTGTTTGGAAAAATCTTGATCTGAGATTTTAACTTTGGAAGAAAAATCTGCACGCAATCGACACGAATGATGAAGGAATATTTATATTCTACTAAATATAAAAGAAATAAGTGAAATCAATGATACTGTATATCGGTTTGCTTGTTAGAGATGTTTTGTCGTATGTGCTACAAAGTTGGATATTATTAATCGAGATCTAAACTTTTTTTTAACAATTACATGTTGTGAAGATATTGCTCTTCTATAATCTACAAATATTAAAAGAAGAGTGTGAGTATGGGTAGGCTCATATCGGTCAAGATCGAGGTATCCAGACCACAACGACACACTCAAGATTCCAAACAGCTTCATCGATGACGAAATCCGGTGATGTCACAACAGGATCATCGATATTCTAGCGGGCAATCGTGAGAATATGATCTAGATCAATTTCTTTGACACCAGACAGACTATGAATGATTTAAGTGTTGTGAGTATTCAACGTATTAGCCCTTCCAGTAGCGAAAAGAAGCAACAATTGAGGAGATCGCAGTGTTACTATGCAGATGAGAGTATGCCTGTGTGTGTATTTTTATGGGTAGACGGGTTGACGTGGCTGAAGAGAAGACCTTCATCTACCTATTCTCCAATGTTCTGTCAAACATGTATCGAAAATTTCACATGACCAGAAACATGAATAATAATGTTATTGCTTCCCTGCAAAGCCGAACGGAGAGAAGCATATTATTTTGTTAGGTTAAATATGCACGTAGATTGTGTTCTTTTTCTTCACTATTCTTTTGTCAACAATCCCTTCACAAACACACATGGCAACATCAAGTAAGCCGCGCTGCGCAACATGTAACAAAGCAGCCGGCATTTTCAGCTGTTATGGATGTTCACAACACTTTTGCGTACCTCACGCAAATGAACATCGGCAATTACTCACCAAAGAGCTGGATGAAGAAATTATTCTCGCTCATGATCAAATTCAACAAAATATTAATGAGAATACAACGAAGCCTCAACTCCATCCTCTCATGAAACAAATTGACGAATGGGAGCAACAATCGATGAATAAAATTCGTCAGGCTGCTGACGAAGCTCGAAAGCAACTATTGAGCATTATAGAAAAACATATGGATAATATTAAAAAATCTTTGGGACTACTCACTGAACAACTAAATAAAGCTCGTGTGGATGACGAATTCGTTGAAACTGATATCAAGGAATGGAAAGAGAGGCTGGAAAAATTAAAAAAAGAGATGAATGCACCACAAAGCATCAAAATTCAACAAGATAACAATATGATTGGATTCATATCTAAAATTTTGATAAATGAAAATTTATCAACAATCGATATCTTTGAAAAAATACAGGGTAGTGTTCAAATTGAAGACAATGGTCAAGTGATTAGTCATGATCAGACAATTAGTGATTCAGCAGTTCGTGGTAGGTGTGAATATTCTTCAGGACAACATCGGTTTCGATTTAAAATTGAACAACTCGATGGTAACAAATGGAGTTTTTTTGGAATTGTATCAAAAGATACTGCTATTCAGCCATCGTCATACTTTGCTCCTACTACTTATGGTTGGGCTGGAAAAAACCAAATCTATTTGAATGGCGTTCAGAACATTGGATTTGATGGTTATAAAAGTGACATGGAAATAAATGACGTTTTAGAATTATTTGTTGATTGTGATCGACGAAGAATTCGTTTGACAAATGAACGAACTCATAGTACTTGCGAACTTGATGTTAATGTAACTAAATGTCCCTTCCCATGGCAGCTGAGTTTCTGTCTTGCGTATCCACGCGATCGTATTCGTTTTCTATTATGAATATTCGCTGAATACTGCCGATATCCTTATTGTTCTATTGTACTATAAAATGAGTTTGGGTGGATTTAATATCCACATCCAACTCTAATATTCATACCCACGCCTACACCTTTTCAGCAAAAAGAAATTTCTTTTTTCAAAATCTGAATATTGATGATTTTTTTATGCAGAAAAATGATGCTCCAGTAGCATCTAGTATAAGGCTTCTTCCATTCTGTTTCCTCCTAGAAGGCTACTCTTGGAAGCTGTTTCACAATTATTTTGCTCATCCAAATACAAAAAATTACTAATAAAGATACCTGTACAGTGCATGAAACTTACCAAAAGCTGTGATAATTAGAATCAGAAGAAGAAGAAGAACAACTGCTACTCAGTAATTGGCGAGCATGGGTGGCAACTAAAACTTATTAGCAACCATTCCCACTGAAATTGTATATGCCGTCGATATCGAACATTTTCTCATCTGAAAATAAACTCCACATGGTGTTCTCTCTTCGAAAATTATTAGAGACCAATTTTGCGACTTTTTTTTTATTTGTATTTGTGTTCATCGGTAAGTTTTGGTTGGATTATCATCTTATAAGCATGGAGTTGCAGATCTTCTTTCAATATTGGACGTGCGCTTGATTTGGATATGCCGTATTCTTTAGACAAACTTCTAACGAATGTCACCTTCCTTTGATCGAGTTTGTGCTTAACGTTTCGGATCATTTTACTGGCCCGAGCAAAACGTGGGCCACTCGATGATGCTCATAGCTGAATAGAACCGGTGTTACGAATCATCTTGCACCATCTTTTTATAGTAATTAATCCCAAGAAACCACTCAAATCACGAAAGATTTTAGCTGGAGCATCACCATTTTCGCGTTGAGAAAAAATTACTATTTAAAGATCTTCATTTTATTACAAAAATAATATAAGTTTGAATAAAATACGAAGTATAGATTCTTGTAGAGAATAACAAGATGAATCTTTTTAAAAAAAATGAAGCCTGAATGAATAAGAATTGGTGGAGATGTCATTAAAATACTGAGAGGTCCATTCTTCCGGAGACACCCGTTATGTATCAACTGTGAAACCATCGTTCTAACCAACGAGTTATCCGGTATTATTAGTTAGCTGTAAAAGTTTTTGAACACTAACTATCGATATGCACCGATTTTACTATGTTTAGAATGGATCCGCTGAGGAACCAATTCATGTTAGAGAGGTAGATGGAAGAGAATTTGAAGAGATATATATGTATTTGAAATAGATCCGCTGGTAGAAAAATGTCCCATTGTGATACAATAGTGTTTTGACAATAAGTCTACTGAAAAAAATTAATCCAATAATACACTTATTTTATAATGAGATGTATTCAGATTAATCTTATGAAAGACATCATACTTCCATAATGCGTATGAGTGTGAATGTCAGTGAAGAAAATAATGGAAAATATTTACACTCACGCCATTGCTGTATTTTCTTGTTAAACGTTTGCGGAAACGTTGCATTGTTTTTACGTTGAATCATTTGTGTTTTCTATGAGCTAGAAAGTAGTTTTTAATATTTATTATTCTTGACAAAAAATAAATCTTATTAAGGTCTAGAATTCTAAGTGTAGGTGAGCATGATGATGACGAGAAGAAACATCCAACCACACGCACATCCACAGTCTCACAGTCAAACTCTCACTGAATATTTTCTTATCCAAGGTTCTCTTGAGCGATTAAAAGCAAGATCTAACTTTACAGTGAACAAAAATCAGACAATTAGATGACCTTCTTCTCCGCAACGATGTATTCAAATTCAATAGCAACACACATGGGCATGTCAATGATGTCCCACTCAGTGTCTCACTTATTCGTACATTGGCCAACATCTGTCCACACGCTTAGCAGGGAATCTTTTATAGTAATTCCATTCTCTCACAGAAATGAACTCTATGAAACGTCAATTGATTTTCTTATTTTTATTAATTTGAAAGTCTTATTTAATGATTGCTTTCCAAAGAGCTCAGTCAACAACACCCAATAATTCATCTTCATACATCTATTGTTGATTGTATCAATGTCGATATCGAAAATCACAATGATCATCTGTATTCATGTGTGTGCATGTGAGAGTGTGGGTGACGATCTCCATTTTCATCGCCACTCACATCCATAGTTAAGTAATCAAGCTATATCAACCTGTGTCTATACTTTGCGTGTACGGAAAACGGGTCGCTATTGTTTAAGGTTCTCCTTTATTAAACACACTTGTGGAAAAAAATTCTTTTCTTCTCTGCAAATCATTTACTAAAATTCTTCCATATCAACTCCAAGAATAACAAAAACTAAGTCGATGATCCTGTTCACTCAATTGGTCTTTGACCGGTGTTAGAATATTCCCCTGGCTCATCTTCAATTGTCGTAATGTCTAAAAGGCTATAAAAAAAATCATTCATTTCTGCAGAAAAAGCTGAGTCTTTTCCATATTCCATCGAAGAGCATAGACAAGATATCTTGTTTCTCTCTCCTTAATGTCATTGTGTCCTAGATCGAGTGTTGTATGTGTCTGTATCAAGTGTATAATGTGTTCGAGACAGAAAGAGAAAAAAGAATCCATTACCGTGTTTTGGCGAAGTGCATTGACAAAATGTAGTGAATGAATGCTATGATGATTATACAACGAATTATACTAAGATATATGACTGTAGCATGTGAATCATAGATTTTTTCGAAAAAATTCTGTTGAAACACAAAAGTTTTCGACTGACCAAAATTTTCGTTTGTCGCAAGGACGTGTATCTAGTTTGATCAAGCTGTGCTTGACATTTGATTGCGATTCAGTAAGTTTTAGTAAATAATCAATACTAACTACGTAGAATGTTACTCATTATCATAATAGATGAAATTGATAAAAATTGCATATGAGTTTGAATATCTCTGTTTTGTTCACAACCAAACCATGAGACGCGCGTAAGATGCATATTATGACCATTAAATGGCTGGTGGTGCTGTCGAATGGAAGGATGATATGAGTCTTTTCAAACTTGACAAAGTTCGTAGCATGAAAAACAAATCTTGTTAAGCTTTACTGAATATTAATGATATAGAGAAGGAGAGAGGATGCCTATTAGAAACATAAATGACGAATGTAGTCTATCAACTATATGAAAATGAACTATCTGACAATAAAAACAAAAAAGCAAACACGTAACAGCTTGCAAAATGAGAGAACAGAAGAGAGAATACAACAAAAGGATGCAATCCCATGACAGTAGCAGGCCAATGACAGTAGTGTGGGAATCAACAAAAGAGCGCATATGTTGAGGTGTCGAGTGTATGAAGTCTAGAACGTGTATGGAACAACGACGAAAGTTGTGGTCTGGGTAGTTCTGTCGAGTAAACCCAGAGTTATACACCCGGCTAATTCGAATAAAAAATCTACTTAAGCATCTCCGATTGGAACAGTAGTTTTTCACAGATTCTGGTGAAAAACACATAGAAATCCAATGAAAATTTTTTTTCAGCCATAATTCGATATGTTCCAGACTTGTCAACAAATAGATGGGAGATGTCCCTTGATATCTCTTCGTGATGTTAGGTTATTCGAAAAGGAGCCAAGTATCTCATATTTTGAATCCTATAATAGTATTTGTTTGCACTATTTATATTGGTAAAAAAGCTTTCACTAAATTTCTATTACTAACCAAGAAACTATTCCATTTGAATGAACAGAAACTACAATATTTCAATTTTCTATAGTAGTGTCATTTATAGTCGACCCTACCTAATATGTAATTCACTTTTTTAAACATGGTATACTTCATGTAAATTATGCTGGATTGGAGAAAGGAGCCTATTGCAAAAGTTAGGCGATGGGCTATACAATAAATTTAAAAAATTCATTTTTATTTTTATTTACAAGAGCTTATGAAGTGTGGGGTAGTCCAGAAAATTTAAAGAAAGAAAAAATTAAACGAGCTAAAGCTTTACAAAATGAAGATGAAGGTAT